GCAGTATAAATTGTTGGTAGGAAACTCTTCGAATGGAGTTTCGAAAGTTGCAACCATTTCCACTTTTATAAGGATTCCCTACATTAGGGCAACATTCTTAGTTATGAAACGTGCTATGTTATAACAGAGCGATGGGTCTAATGCATTAAGATTTTGGTGACCGCACCTTGGTGGCGAAGTTAACTAGGGAGAGGATAGGTAGATTAAACCTCGCATGTAATAGTTTTAGTTTAAAAATAAAAAATTATTAAAAAATCAAAAAAATTATAATCTATATTAAAAAATTAAAACTTTCTTTCTCTTTATTTTTTATATATTTTTTTTGTAAAAAATTAAAAAGTTATTTTAAACATACTAATTTTTTTGTCTTGTATTTTAATCAAAAAGTCAAAAAGTTATTAAAATAGTCTATTTCCAAACCAAGCCTAGGACTCTGTTTGGAATACACACGACTCCGATTCATAGCTCAAATTTGGAGGCTCGAATTTGGCTCGAATTCGGAGAAGAAGAAGAAGAGAAGAAGAAGAATGAGGAAGGAGAAGGAAGAAGGAGAACTGGAGGGGAGGGGGCCATCAAAATCGGGCTGGAGGAGGCAGGGCCAGAGGCGGGGCTGCGACGATCGGAGCTGCTGCGACGATCGGAGATGCTGCGACGATCGGCGATGGCGGAGGCACAGGAGGGGCCCTTCTCTCCTCTCCTCTCTCTTTCTCTTTCTCCCTCTCTCCCCCTCTTCCCCTCTGTTCTTCTCCTGTGTTCAACGAAGAAGAAGAAAAAAAGAAAGAAAGCAAGAAAATGAAGAGAAAGAAAGGAAGAAAAAGAAAAAGAAAAAAAAAAGAATCGCAAAACGATGTCGTTTTGCGATTCGAGCCAAAATCGGGCCACTTTTTTCGAGCTAGCAGTCATTTTTCGAATACATATTTGAGCTAAAATAGCCATGTAGGATAAAATAAGTTATTTTAATTAAATAGGATAAAATGTCACAATTAACTCATAATCATTTTAGTTTTTCTCTTATAAAAGTTAAAAAGTCAAAAAAACTTATCCTAAATGAAATTTTTTAACCCCAAACTAGTCAAAAAAATTAAGGGTAAATTACAAATATACCCCCTAAGATTTGATTAAAATACGAATCGCCTCTTGTGTTTTGAAAATTACATTCCACCTGAGATTTCTAATTTCATAATAAATCGCTCATTTTATTAATAAATCATTAAGTCAATTAACTGTTTTTAATGATATTAAAAATATATTTCAATTAATAATTTAAGTAATTTTATTTTTGTATAAGAGAGTAATTATGAATTTTATTTTTTTAGTTAATTCTGTTAAATAAAAAAATTCTAATAAAGGGATATTTGTAATTTTTCAAACTACACAAAATAATCTATATTTTAAACAAACCTCAAAAAATATATTTATAATTTCCCAAAAAAATTTTAAAAAAATCAATTCACATCCCAAACCAACGGTAACTCGACGTGCCAAAAGGGAAAAGTTATTCAGCTTGGTTTTGATTTTTAGAAAATACTTTTTAAAAAATTATACTTTTTTATTTTTCATATTTTTTTATTTTTAATAATTTTTTTAATATATTAAGTAAATTTTTTTTAAAATTTTTAAACACACTTATTATAAATATATTTAAAAAGTATAATATTTGTGGAATTTTTTTAAAAAAAATTCTCTAACTATCAAAAATATAAAAATTTAGTATATTTTCATACATATTAATTTTTTAAAATATTTTTTCACAAATATTTTACTATTTAGATACATCTAACTAAGGTGTATCTAAAAAAATATAAAAAAAAATGCTTAAATTTTTTAAAATATTCAGTAAAAATAAAAAATATGAAAAATTAAAAATTAAATTTCGAAAAAATTGAAACAAAACACACTGATTAGTTGATTGAGAATAGCACCACATCATTTTCTATATGTATTTTAATTAATGAAAGAAATAAAATTTATAATTTTATATTAAGGGTAAATTACAAACACACCTTTTGAGATTTGCTTAAAATATGAATTGTCTCATGTGGTTTGGAAAATTATAAACACCTCCCTATCAAAATTTTTTATTTAACATAATTAATTAAAAAAGTGAAATTTCTAACTGTTTACCTATATAATAATAAAATTATCTGAATTATTAATTGAAATAAAATTTTAACATTATTAAAAATTATTATTTAACTTGATGATTTATTAATAAAATGATTTATTTGTTATGAAATTAAAAATATTGGGAGACATAATGTAATTTTTAGAATCATATGAAATAATTTGTAATTTAAGTAAATCTCAAGAAATGTGTTTGTAATTTATCCAAAAAAAAAAAAAAAGTCTATTTTCCACTAAAAAATGAACTAAACAATTTTCAAACATCCGTTTTTTTTTTTAAAATTGTAAAAGAAAACAAAAACACTGAAAAATTACTTGAAAAAAAAAAAAAAAAAAAAACCACTCTTAAATTTGTTTTAAAATCATAAAACAAAATGGGGAGAATTCTATTCCATTTAACGAATGGGAGAAGAAAACATTTTCATATTTAAACTTGGAAATTGTCTATAAAAAATGAGAAATAAACCAAAAATTGAGGAGAGAGAGAGATGTAATTTCCGACCAAAACGCGTTTTTGTTGTTGTAGGGTCGAGCAGACAAACCTGTGCCGAGTAGATATGAATTTATAGACTATAAATTTTCCAAGTAAACCAATCGATCTGGTATATACCCAGAAAGAGGTCAGCCATTTTCTCGACTTCCAAACACTTTTTAAGCAGTTTCTGTTCACACCAAGCTCCTTGCCTTTCCATGTTGATGAATTGTTCAAGCAATAACATAGGGACTCTGTTCCTTTGTGCTTATTTTTAGTGGATTTGATTCGATCTTTGATCAATATATTTTTTGACTCTCAACTTCGTTAGGATTTTCTTTCCCTGTTGTTATTCACTTGAATTTGTTATTGATATTGAATTTTGCATTTCTTATACTTCATTTTTCCGAGCTAATTTAACCTTTTTTCATTGAATTTTTGGACTAGTTTGAGCTAGTGATAGAGGGTTTGACTAGAATACAGTATTGGGTTTTTGATCAGACGATCAGATTGGATTTTGCATTCCTTATTCTTCATTTTTTTCTGCTAATATAAGCATTTTTATACAATTTTTGGACTAGTTTAAGCTAATGATAGAGGGTTTGACTAGAATACAGTATTGGGTTTTTGATCAGACGATCAGATTGGATTTTGCATTCCTTATTCTTCATTTTTTTCTGCTAATATAAGCATTTTTATACAATTTTTGGACTAGTTTAAGCTAATGATAGAGGGTTTGACTAGAATA